ACCCCCCCCCCCCCCCCCCCAACTCTTTTTGGAAAAGAAAGGAAGGCACACTTTCCACAATGGTAAGCAGTAGTCTAGCTGTCAGCATTTCTGCTCATTAATACCTTACACCAATTGCATTCCCTCCTAAAGGAGCTGGTCTTTGTGATATGGAGAAGCAGCACGTAAGGACTTCTGCAGCTTCCTTATTGGGACTCTGCACGGCTCCCCAGCACACCATGTGCTGCCACCTCTCCTCTTTCAGAAGAACCCCTGACCTGCTGGTTTGAACTAGCCCATCTGTATTGCTTTGTTAAGTGTTTTAAATCTTCCTGCAGCAGAAAGTGAATTATTGGGCTGGAGGGTTCCACGTAGTAGGGAGATGTAGCTGGATTGTAGAGTTTGGTAATGTGATAAAGGGCCTTTCAACTTTTAAGTCACTAGTGTGATTACAGCATGCATTGGCAGTGACAGGAGGTTGGCACCATCGATTTGCTGTTTGGTAGCTCGTTATGTGATTTGTGGTGGTGGCATTGATCCAGTGGGTATCAGTCCATATTGAAGAAACCACCACTTCTAAAGTCAGTCCTAATTGACTTGCTCATTCACTGTCACAGCAAGGAGCAAATGGCAGAACAAACTAGGGAGAAAGTCTTCTTTCCTGACCTCTAAACTTGCTCTAAGTACATCCTCACTTGAGGGGAACCTCTCCCTGCAGTGTATCTGCCCAGGCATTGAAATGTCATGATCTTGGTGTTTTGTGTATGGTGTATGTAGGCAACTTGACAGCACCCGTCTTGGAAGGGAGAACTATTGAGGTCCATTATAAAAGTCCATTATAAAGGTTCTATGCATAAATACTTGTTTATAAAGGAAATGGCAGGTTTGTGGGGTTTTCTTTTTCATTCTCTTTTTTCTCCTAGATTTCCCTTCCATAGTAAAGCACTTTTGTGCTAGAATTCATTTCCCCTTTTTGTCAGAAATCCAGTCCTAAAATCATTTAAGTTATAAAAAAAATCAGAAAGGCCCTCTGTTATTTAGTTTCTCAAGTTTAAGTTATAATAGGAATATTTTTTAAATTGTTATCCTATTAAAACAGATGTTTGACCTCCAGTTCCTAGGTTTCAAACTAAATCATTCCATTTGTAAACTATCAGTGAGTTGGGTGGCAGCTCTGCTCTGTCCCAGTGGCATTAGCAGCTCTTCCCAAACATACAAGTGCAGTATTAAAAGTAGATACACTTTGGTTCTTTTTGCTTGCAGATCCGCAAGAGCAGAGCTTATAAATGAAAAGTCTAGTTCCCCTGAGTTTAGTCAGCTTTGAACGTTACCATAGGTACTTGGTATCATGGTAATTCATGTCATGCCTGCGTATGAAAAAAAGAAAGAAGAAACCAAGCCCACTGGTCAGACTGAGCAGAGACCACTGCTTGTTGCTGTTTGTGCTGGGAGGACTGTCCCGGTTTGTTTGGTTTGTTTCATGTCACATATTCAATTTCAGTATGAGTTCTTCCTGACCCAGATTTCTGAGCAGACTGAAGTGGAGCCAGAAACTGTAAAAGTGCATAATTATTCTTTTATTTATTTTTAAGCTGTACAGCTCTATTAAGCTTTCAGAGAATCCTTTATACCCAGCCTTTGAAGTAAACTAAGCCAGAGATCAGCCGGAGAAGGAGAAGTGGGTTGACACTGCTTGTTTCTGCTTGCAGAGTAGTCTGTAGACAGTTAAGATCTGGAGTCTCAAAGCGAGGAAAATCTTATGCTTTTTTTGGAGTGTAGAAGAGAGAAGGGATCAATACATCCAAAAGCAATACTTTACACCTTTGGTATGTTCTGAAACCTCAGATGCTGGCAGGGCTGTGAAACAGCTGAAATCTGGAAGATTATTCTGGGTACTGACATGTAAATGAGCAGACCACACATTAATGCTGTGTATGCTCCATCTGCCAAGCCATTCATTCTTCCCAACTTGGGACAAATTAGAAACTCTGGCCCAGTGGCGGAAGATTATTATTCCTTTCCCAGTCCCCCAAAGCAATACATTCTCCTGCTTTGAGTCTGATTGAAAACATTGACCTGGAGGTGAACACAGTCTGTCCCCTTGATTCATCCAGATTCTGACCCAGGCAGTGTTGAAACCACAGGCTTCTTTCTGGTCTCAAAAAATCACCCAGCTACCCTCCTGGGCTGAGGACCAAGTGGAAACTGGGCAGCTAGGTAGAAGAAAGACCCTACCCTCCCCGAGCCATCCAGACCAGTGGTTACAATTCTGCCATAAATATTGCGTTAGACTAACCTAACTCAATATGTGTAGAAAATGGACATGTAAAGAAAGACTATGACCATTGCTGTAAGTAAACATCAGGAAGCTAAGGTGGTGTAACCAACCCTTCTGAGAGCCAGATGATGTAGCTGTGACATCCATTTAGAGTCTCTCCTCAGCCATTGTGACTTGCTTCTGAGTTTCCCCCTTCCTCGGGAAGTCATGATCTTGAAGCCTCCTCATGCTCCTTCCAAAACACAAGCACTCCCGATAGTTCTGCCCTCCTGGGAGCCAGTGTGTTTGAAGACCTGAGAGCCTCCAGTTTTTGTTTGCCCTGCCTCTTGTTAGCAGTGCTCTGAGCTTACACAGAACAGGAGTAAAAGATGCCAGAGCATAGCAACCACCTGGATTAATTAGGTTTTACATTAAATGCAGAACTGGAGTGAGGTGCATGATGATTAAACCAGCAACTTTCTGGAAACTGAATACTTCCTCCTCCTCTATTGTATTTCAACATCTATAAACTTGTAACTGCCTCAAGGCAAGAATGGTGTTGTCTGTATATGAAGTACTCAGTTTCTGTACAAGCAAGAGCAGTAATAGTGATAACAATAATCATTTATCCTGTGAGGTAGGGAAGTATCACTCTTCACATTTTAGATGGTGAAACAGACACAAAGACACACAGGATCTTGCTTAGTGTCATTTCATGCCTTACTAGCAGAGACAGAGCCGAACCCAGGAAACACATTTCCCTGTTACTTGCTCTTACCCCTAGAGGACATACCCTCCTTTGATGACGACCAGTCTCTCTTCTGATTTTTCTGCAGAAGCTGCAGCAACAGCAACCCGGAGACTGATGATGAACCTCCATGTGTGGAAGAAATTGATTATAATACTGACAGTTGCTCTGATGATGAAGGGAACTTCTCGGAGCTAGACCAAGAGATCCAGGAGTGCCTCTCGTGGGTGGAAGGAGAGACGGAAGATGAGGGAGTGACCACGGGACAGACATGCAGCTCCAAGGCTCGCAGGGGGCTCTACATTTCCAGCCAACCAGCATCCAACAGTACAGCTCTGCCTCTATGTTCAACACCACTTGGGGTGTACAGTGGATTTGAGAGCAGCCCTGCATGAGCAAGGCTTTGACTTGCAGAGCAGTAAGCAAATGGGTTACTGCTCGTGTTTGCCTGTTTCCCAGCTTCAGCATCCTTCCCAGATGTGTTGCTCCAGTTTTGAATAGAAAGTTGACTGTTTGTTTGTGTAATTTGTATACATATATATAATGAGAATGACTCCTTACACTTTGTACGCAAGGCAGAGCAAGGGGCCACTGGCCCGGGTGGTACTATGTGAGATCATCCATTCCTGAACATAATCCCCAGTTTCACAGCTGCCTCTAGTATGTGGTTTCATACAGACTGGCTGGAGGAATGGTCTTCTGAGACCAAAGAACCAGAGATGATTCTCCTTTTCCTACTTTAGGCTCTTATTATGGGAAGCAACCTTTGCCTGGAAGAGTAACAGTCACTGATGCCTTTGTCCAGAGCTCTCCATTGTCATTCATTTCTCTTGAGCTTTAAGGCATGTATCTGATTTCTGTCTGATGAGAATTTTTACTGTGTGCTCAACAGGTTGGATCAGGCTGTGCATGCTTCTGAGCTGGTCTTATCTCAGCCACAGTGTGGGAAATCCCATGTGCCGTAGTAAGGAAAGCACCAGTGACAATACGGAGTGGTCCCCTGGAAACCTGGGCTAAATTCACATCTTTCCTGCACTGAAACAAACCAGTCTGGTGTAATCTCAGTTGAGTCACTTCGTGCTTGAACTGATGGGCCCAAGTGTAGAATTTGTTTCACGGATGCTGTGAATTTATATTTTCTCTGTGAGACATACTTCCAGCTAAGAGAATACAGATACAACAGTTAATCCTAAGGAACTATAGCTACTATTTCAAGCTATTGAGAATGAGAGGAATTTGGAGCATTTTAAGGAATAAAACATGTTTTCTTGAGGTAGCCAGGGGGGTCCCCCAATATTCTGTCAATAAAGTAGTGATGCTGGTGATAAGCAAGAGTGTATTCAACCCTGTGACTGATTATTCTTTGTTAGTTTTATTATGATACCATTAGGAAACCTAGTTCATTGACAGTGCCCCATTGTGCCAGGCAGTAATATAGTAGAAGACATTACTGCTAGGTTATATAAGGGACATGTTCTACCAGTGACTCCCATAATAGAGTCAGAACAGTTTCACCTTTGATGCCCAAATGGAAAAAAAATTCAGCTTTCTCCTAAAATTGCCTGCAAACACAGATCCCGATGCCTGAGAACCCAGCATAGACTGAGAACCCATGCTTGTGCCTGACATCCCCAGACCATGAAGCCCACATCACTGCATCTCACACCTCATAGTGCCTGAAATTCTCATATGTCTTAGACTCTGCTGCTGCAAATGGGGAATTGCCTGAACCCAAATGGAGGTTCCCAACTCTGTCACTACTTTATGAGGCTCAAGGAGAAGCATAAACATATAGGGTGTTATAGCATTACGGTCTATAAGGCCTCCATTAGCAGTGATTATTACTATTGATGTGTGACTAAAAGCACGATGTCATCCTTTCGTCTTTATGCTGTTTGTGGAGAGAATTCCTGGTGCAGAATGAGGTTTTCTCTGACACGTTTCCCCAGACTACCCAGACATATTTTCTAGCAGGAGCTTGCTCTTTGGAGAAATATCTTCTTCCTGTCCTGCTGGGTTTTCAGTATCCAGGTGTTTTAAAGTCTTCACCACATGTAAGAGTTCTCTGTGCCTCTAGCTCTCTCTTTATGACGCTGCTCAAAGGCAGCTTGTGTCCTTAGAAGCTGAGCTTCTTAGACCAAACTAATTCATTAGGTATGGTGTGTGTTCTCTGTACAGACGTCCTGTTCTGCTTGCTTTGGTGTGCAGCTTGTTGCACACAATACTGAATTTTCATAAAAGGTTGGCTCATAGGAATGGACACAAAAGAGGTAAAACAGGTGTTCCCATTATAATAGTTTGTATAACATTGCTTCAAAGCTTATTAATAAAAAAACTATATATGTGCATAGTTAATTTCAAAATCCAACATTCATATGCATGACAAAAAATTCACACTGTGCTAGGTCCACACTGCAGCATATGCAGGCCATGCTGTAAGATCTTCAGCATTCAGCACAACCCCTGGACACAGGGAAAAAATATCACTGAACATATATGTGTCTGTAGATGTGCATGTATACGTCCAGAGCTGCTATTCTCTCATGCTGTGTTCTGTACTGATGCCCTGCCACAACAATAACTGAACGATGCTTATGGAGGCTTGCCTATGGTTCTCCTTACTGCAAAGTAAAAAAATATCTTCTTAAATCAGCATTTTTCATAATGAGACACCAATATTTTGGCTATAAATACTATAGGCCAGTGTCAGCCTTGGAGCTATTTCATTCTGAATTCCTTAAGCTAAGCAGAATTCAGTTCCGTGGGAAAGCTCTGCCCTAGTTGTGATTCATTAAATCAATAGACTGCGGAAGAGTTGTCCTAATATAATAAAAGTGGAGGTGTAGCTTCCATGTGTGTTTGGAGCCCAATGCATATGAGCAGTACCACTGTTCTAGCTCCCTGTGGTATGAGCTGCAGGAGGTGTAGAGATGGCAAAGGCCTTTAGGGTCTTTCCAGTGTCTGGGATCCAAGTGTAGCAGCTGAGCTGGGGGCAAAGTGTCCATGCACATCCACCACACCTGCATAAATGCTGCCATGCAATATGAAAAGCCTGCCCAAGTCTTCTCCATGGAGCTTCCCGTGTTTGTGCCAAACAACTTGCCAGCAAGTGGTGACGATGCTGCAGAGGTCAATGACCAGGGCAAAGGCCCCAGCCCAAGGGCTGCTGGCAAGGTGGAAACGGGAAGTACAGTGAGAGCGTTGGGTAACCAAGAAATCAGGAACAGCACCTGGAAACCTCCAGCAGAAGCAGTTTTGTGGGCTGCCTTATTTGTTCCAGGAACTCCTACGAGGAGCAGATGCTCTTCTTCTTTTCACAGACCTCTAGAGGTCAGGAGAGGGCCTCCGTTGTGCACCGCTCGCTCCACGCTATTAAAATTCTCCCTGAGTCATGGTAATTAAGCAGAACTAGGCTCTGCACAGAGGAACGGAAGTGCATTGACTTTAATAAAACAGAGTGTAAAACAACTTTAGATTAACTCCAGCCTTGTTTATTCTTGCACACTTGTAATTCTGGTTTGGTATTTCCCCAGTGAAAGGAGCCGTTGTCCCCTGCGCTGAGGCATGTCACCTCACTTCAGCCTGCTAAGTGCTGAGCACTGAGGCCAGTGCCTTTTCTTGCTGTCGCTAGCTAATCCCAAAGAATTTGGAAACAGCCGATGGAAAACAGGAGGGAGGAGAGGGAAGTCACCCCTGCCATTCCTCAAGAGTCAGCAAGGCTGTCAGGTTGAGATGCAAGCCAAATATTTCCATGATGGCCAGAAGAGATGGTGTCCTCGAGGCACTCACATAGTCCCCACTGCTGAAGCAGTTTTGGGCCCCCGCCAAGCACATTAACTTTTTTTACTGATGCCTTTTGTCTCACTGACTCTCTTAGCGGCTGTGAATAGCTCTGCTCTCCTCTCCCCCCCCTCGCCGTGGTTTACATGACATGGGTAGAAGATGCAGAGCTGGGCACCGCTCACACTGCACCCTCTGTCTCGGCCTCTCGCCCGCCCTCAGGCCCGCCTGGCCACAATAGCCCTTTCCTATCAGAGACCATCCTACGGAAGCCTTGCCACTGTCTAGTGAAATACATATGTGTGTGTAAACCTCTGGGCTAAAAATAAATAATTAAACAATAAAAATAAAAAGAATCAAGTCAGCAAACTAAAGGAAGAGCAAAATCTAATTAGTTTTATCTGCTGTTTGTTATGAGGCTGTCAGAGTGCTCTATCCCTGGTTTTACAGCACTCTGGAAAATAACAGTGATAATAATAAACATCCATGCACTGGGTTGTTTTTGAAGCAAGCAGGAAGCAGATTAAGGAGGGGAAAAGAGAGCGGCCCCTCTCCTCTGCTGCTTTTCTCCTCCTGCCAGAAAGCAGCGATGGAGGTGATAGCACTGACTCCTGTCACATCTGTCCCTGGACAAGATCCACTGCCCCTCTCCATCACGAAGCACGAGTGGGCAACTGTTTGGCAGCCAATTCTGGACCCTCAGGTTGTATTTCTTGCTCTGTGCTCCTGACCAAGCTGTTCATCCTCAGCTCCCAGCCTCAGTTCTGATGGGAGGTATAAACAAAGCTCTGATTCCTCACGGCAAATACAGCAAAGTGTGAGTGAAAGTAGATGTGTGTTTTGGGGGAAGGAGAGGAAGAAATAGGGATGTAAAACTACCCAGGTGTTTTCTCCATACTGATTTCAGCGGTTTCCAGTTGAGAAGGCAGTTGGAATTATCCTGTGCAGGGGTGCAGTGATAGTTGCCATCACTGCTTTTCACCTCAATGATGTGTGATGATGGCTCGTTAGGCTGTTTCTCTTTAAGCTGTGCTGGATAATTTTAAAAGTCTCTCCTTGCAGGTTGCTATCAGGCTATCCTGTCCCATAGCCTGGTCCTCACAAGGTGGAAATTTTTACACCCATTTTAGGGAGAGCAGGATTTAATCCTGTGTTGAAAACTCTTGTATGGTTTTCCAGGCAGAGGGCTGGACACAAGGCTCCAGCTGGAGATAATATGCAAAAGCTTGGAGAACAAAAATCTCTATGCACATAATTGCATTGGGAAAAGATGAAGGAAAAAGATAAAGAAAGAAGAAATAAATCAGAGAAGAGGAAGGAGGAGACTCAGTGCAGGGAGGGGGGATGAAGAGAGCAGATGGGAATAGGAGTAGGGGGCACTTGGGGGAGACTCAGGCAGAGAAATGGGAGAATTGTTCCTATTTGAGCATCCTCTTCCGTCCCCAGATAATGTGTCAGTATTAACGCTATCAAGAAACAACCCTCTCTACTGTAGAATAAATCTGCCACTGTATTCCCCACTCCTTAAACGGCGGCCAAGTCTGCATCCTCAGCACGGCATTGTGTGCTCAGCACTGTGTTTTGTCAGTGCTTTTCGTGATGGTTAAGCCTGTATCATTTCTGGCCTTAGGTTTCCTCTCCAAGGACTGACATCCTCAGACAGGTTCTGGAAGATCCATGGCGTATTCTTGTTGATGCAGCAGTTTGAGGCTACTTTTCTTATCTTTTCTTTCCTCTTCTAAAAAAGTGGAAGGGAGAGAAATGAAGGAGGTGAACAGGAGGGAGTGAGAGAGAAAGGAGAAGGCAGAAAGAGGTGCCCTGCTATCAGTCAAGCAAGATCTCCAGCAAGATGGCCAGGCAGCTGTTTTGGCATCAGGGGCTTTTTTAGCCTTTGATTAATCTGCTTGTAGTTCATGCAAGGACCAGCAAGAGGAGAAGACAAATCTACCACTAGAAACAGTCATCCATTGGATGCCCTGGCAATAACTCCAGCCCCAGTAAAATACCATAGACTTTAGCTAACGGGGCTCCTCACCAGCTGGTGTAATTGCAATCACAGCCCTGTTTCTTGCCTCCTTGCTCCTAATTGCCTGACTGAGGGGTTTTCCTGAGTGGTTTCTAGTGTTATGCTCTGGCACCTGATGCACAGATCTGCAAGAGTCTCCTGCCTTTGCCTCAGCATATCCATAACAAGTTATTTAGCTTTTCTGTGCTTGTTGCCCCATCTATGAAGTGGGGTTATTAATATTTATTTTTGGTGAAAGGGGTCACAATGATGCTTAAATCATGAGTATTTACAACACAGTTTGACATACTTAGAGAAGGGAAATAGGAGGATTAACTGCTGCTTCCATCATATATTTGCCATCACTGAAATAAAAATACTGCCCACCACTGTGATCACTGTTAACTCCTTTCCAGGGGCAGTTGTGTTTCCTTTGGTGTCCATAGAGGGTGGCACACCTGGGCCAGGCAAATCCTCGAGGTGAAAGTGTGGACAGTGTTGAAAAAAAGGCCTCAGGATTCTTGACAGCCCAGTGGTCTTCCAAGAACCAGGCAGCGTGCTGGTTAGTGAGTTGGGAAAGTGGGAAATTTAATAGAGGTGAAAATGACACACTTGGGAGAACAGTGGAGCAGTCTGGTAAACATCTGAAATGCCTCTGCCCAAGTGCTAGAAGTGTAAGGGCTAAACAGGAAGAATATAAAGCCTTAGTACATATACCAAGCTATAAGTTAATCAGCTTCCCAGACACACGGAAAAGAGAAAGTAGGAACAGCAGAAGAAGGATTAATTGGCTGTGAAACATCAGGGAATTGGTAGGTTGGGTCAAGGAAAGAGGAATACACACCAGCAAGCACTGACTTAGAGATCAGAGCAGAGGTACAGTGACAAGATCTTCTAAGGCAGGGAAAAGAAGACAAGTGCAACACTAAAGGTATGTGAGGACCTCATTAATGCCTTGAAATGAGAAATCAATAGTTTTAAAAAGTTGAAGCAGCAGCAGATAACTAGGAGTGAGACCAGAATGATGTGTGGATGAAATCAGAAAGGTCCCGACACAGAATGGGTTAGAGGTGGCTAGGAACACTCAAGGTGTTGCTACTAGATGTATATAACAGGAGTTATACTGATCTGGGGATGGGAATAGGACAGAACAAAGGGATGTAAATTAAAGAATCCTTACCTTGAGTAAGTGAATTCAAACTGTTGGACCTGAGGGAATTCCCCTACGGGTTGTCCAAGGAAAGCAGTATGTGAACAGTTAGGAATGGACTTCAAGAGCTTCTATATTGAGAGGGGTCTGCAGAACTAGAGAAGGGTGAATAAGGTATTTGTTTGTAAAAGTGGAAAAAGGAAAAGCCAGGAAATTTAAATCAGCCGGCTAAATTGGGTGACTACAGAGAAACCTCAACAAATTATGAAACAAACAATTCATTAGCAGCTATAGGATAAGAAGGTGGTAAAAGACAAATCAACGTGGATTTGTCAAGCTGATCTAATTTCCTTCTTTTATTGGCTAATTGGCTTAGAGGATAAGGCCGAAAGAAAGCTTTAGGAAAGCTTTCAGTACTTTCTGACATTATATTTTCACAAGGAACTAAAGAAATATAGTTTATTCAAAATCATTGTAAGATAGGCGCACGCTAGCTGAGAAATTACTCATGAAGGCCAGGTTTCATCTACATGAATGTTAGCCTTCTAGACATTAGGCATCTAGTCTAAATTATTGTGTACAGAGACACCAAATGTGGAAGCACAGACACCTCCAGAGGTTTTATGGTTTACATCCCTTCCTAAGATACGTGATATGGAAAGGATCCTTTGCTGAGTTACACATTTGACTCAACTTCTGAATGAAGCTGAACAACCAGCTCAGGCAGAACACTTAGATTTAAACCCACCCCAAGACGGTATCCCACAAGCATACTTCTAGGGCATCACTTTGCTTAACTGAGATGATACCATGGAGAATACATTTATTTTTTCAGAAACGCCCAACCTTGAAACTCGACTACCTGTTCACATACCTCTATTTACATCAACAGACCTCCCAGCCTCACCTCCAGCTCTGTAAACCCATCCTTTGCTCCACCAGGCTCACTCCCCCAGAGCCAAATACAGTAAATACTGGTGATCTCAGAGGCTACATCCCAGATGAATGGGATCAGAGGACACACTCTCACTCGTGGCCGGTGCCCAGGTAGATGCCAAGAGCCCTGGAGCAGGGAGGGCACACTGGAGCCACTCTGCCAGATGGCCTGACTGCTCTTGGTTGTAAGAGCTGCTTTGTACTTTTTAGCTTTACTGATGCGGAGAGAACATTTTGAACTGTCTAAGCCTTATAACCTTGTATCATTGGCACAAGAACAGCAGCAGCACACTGTTGAACATAATAAAAAGAGGGAAAGAGCTGTGGAATTAAATAAGAATTTAAATCTTAGGGTTCACAGCTCAGAGCAAGAGGCTTTAGCTGTGTTATTTCCAGGAATTGGTTGAGTCATGTTTGAGAATAATGGATAAGATTAATTCCTTCGTGACTACTGCTGAATAAATTATTTGCCAATAATTTTATATATG